GACACCATGTCATGCACTGACCACCTCTCCGCTTTCTCCAACCAGCCCTTCGAAAAATTCTGCCCATCGTCCAAGACGTCGATGGATGTTAGTGATTGGCATCCCATCATCCTCGCAGATTGTTTCACTCACACCAGACTTCTTGCTGCCAGTGGCTCGGATGAGCTGGAAGAGCTTCCGGTAGTTACCAGATGCAGCTGCTGCTTCCAGCTCATTAGCACGCTCCGACCACCAGGCTTCTCGGTCCTTACGCAAGCTTTGCCCAATTTCCTTACGTAACATCCTTCGTTTATGGTCAAACTCACGGTCACCCGGAGTAGACCGACGGGCTTCAATGAGTTGTAAGGAACCAGAAGAAACCCAGTGCTTAAAGGCGGGACGTTTCGCAAACCCACAACTGACTGTTCCTGCCATTTTCATGGCGTCATGCAATTGCAACCAATGCACATCTATACTTTTCGGTGGAGTGGTAGCTAGCCTAGAGGCTAGCTCGGTTCGATACTTATTTGCAACAGAAGTTGCAACCAGCTTGCTAATATCAATCCTTTGATGGCGGTCACTTCGTTGTCCACTGAAAAGTAAGGCAAGATTGGCGCAGACCAAGGCATGGTCAGAGTCCAGATAGGTACTCCAAAAGGAGCGACAGTCTTTTACACAACCACGCCAGCGGAAGCTGATCGCGATGTGATCAATCTGAGTCCAGGCTTGGGATGCAGAGGGAGGACGCCAGGTGGCACATCGGCGATGACTGTGCCGAAAGTTAGTGCTAGCCAGAAACAGGTTGTGGTCTGTGCAAAGTCGCAGTAGACGGTCCCCGTTATCTGACCTGCGACCAACGAGTCCCCATCGGCCACCTAAACGATTCTCTTCTGTGCCCAGACGCCCGACCTGAGCATTCAAGTCTCCGGCTAGTACTACAATATCTGTCGAACACACTTTCTGGAGAAGAACAGATAACTGGTGGTAAAACTCATCCTTGATTGCATCCGGGCTGCAATCTGTCGGGGCATAGGCGGAGATGACGAAAAGACATCGTTTCTCACGCCGATTTCTTCTCACTTTGATGGAACTTTCTAATCTAACAGCACATAACCGACTGTTAATGGGGATCCAATCGACTAGTGCTGCCTCAGCTCTAGCGCTTAGTGCGACACCAACGCCAGCAAGACCAGACGAAGATGCCACAGGGTCCCCGGATAAGCGCACGTAAAACAAGCTTTTCGAAGCGACAGATGGAGATCGAATTTGTAGTACTTCACCAGAGTCTTGAATACGGGTCTCGGATAGACAACAAACATCAATATTAAGACTTTCCAAAGACATAGCCAGCCCTATCTGTTGTCCGATCTGCACTAGTGTGCGAACGTTGAAGGCAGCCAGTTTGAATGGCGCACGTGGTTTCAGAAAAACTGCTTCAGTTCTCATATTCGGTGGTAACATACAATTTTCAACCGGACAGTGACTCGAGAACGTTTGCAGTCGAATTTCCACCAAAGACGAGCCGCTGTATAAATATAAAAGAGGGTGAATAATGTGGAAAATAATAATAATAATAATAATAATAATAATAATAATAATAATAATAATAATAATAATAATAATGACAATAATGGTAATAATAATAGTATTAATAATGACAATAATTGTAATGATAATTATTTGAATCGATTGATTGTTTATCGGAGCGAGAAAAGTAGTTGCCATAGACATAGAGTTCATCGTTTGTGTGTGGGCTGTGATACTGCCCGGGTGCCCAAACCGAAGCAGGTGGTTATCTTAGGGGGCCACACCCCGAGCCTTTGACCTAATGGTCTAACCCACAGGGCAGTGGAGCATCGTAAGGAGATGCAATCCCATGGTAGCCGGTGACCAACGATTGGTTCATACGCCATTTGTTCCCGCAGGATACTGGAGCCCATGTGCACCATTGGTTTGTGATCCGGTTAAAGCGCCGGACGTTCGCTTTTCGTCCTCTCATTTTCGTAAACAACACCCCCGCCACGAGAAGGCAATGAGTAGGACTTCCCTGGCAGAGGATATATACGCGCGGCCGTGTGAGAGTATTTCGAAAGGGAGAGCGGACTCTCCCCACTCTCGGCCGTACCAGGGCGTTTGGGGGCGTAGTGTTTCTTGACATCAGGGCTGCCTTCGTTTCGTTGGACAGGACTGTTCTCTGGGATTGTCTATTGAAGAAGGGTGTGCCTGAAAAGTTTATTAACATCCTAAAAGCCCTATATAAAAACACCTCAGGCAGAGTGAGGGCATACAACCACCTCTCTCTATTGTTCCATTCGAGTAGTGGGGTTAGGCAGGGTTGCCCGATCTCACCATTCCTCTTCAACTTTGCCATCGATGACATTCTGGAAACAGCTCTGATGAATGTAAGTAATGGTGGTGTGGATCTGTTGCCTGGAGAAAGACTTCTCGACCTTGAGTATGCGGACGATATTGTCTTACTGTGCGATAATGCCCAACGCATACAATCCGCACTTAATCAGTTGGCAATCAGTGTCCGTAGGTATGGTATGTGCTTTGCACCTTCGAAGTGCAAAGTACTTCTACAAGACTGGCAGGATTCCAATCCTGTACTCACCCTGGATGGTGAGCAGATAGACGTAGTCGAGAAGTTCGTGTATCTGGGTAGCTGCATAAGTGCTGGTGGGGGTGTGAGTGATGAGATCAATGCACGTATAGTGAAAGCCAGAGTGGCTTATGCCAATCTGGGCCATCTTTGGCGCCTTCGTGATGTTAGTCTGGTTGTAAAAGGTCGGATCTACAACGCGTCGGTGAGAGCAGTTTTGCTCTATGCTTGTGAAACCTGGCCTTTCCGAGTTGAGGACGTTAGACGACTCTCTGTGTTCGATCATCGCTGTCTCCGAAGGATTGCTGACATTCAGTAGCAACACCATGTCAGTAATGCAGAGGTTCGGCATCGTGTGTTCGGGCACAGAGACGATAATTCAATTGGTGTCACCATCTTGAAACACCGACTTCGGTGGCTTGGACATGTTCTACGAATGTCGTCTCAGAAAATTCCACGTCGTGCATTATTTGCCGACTCTGGGACTGGTTGGAAAAAGCGGAGAGGTGGTCAGTGCATGACATGGTGTCGTGGTATGAAAGAAAGCTGCAAAGGACTGGATTCTGTCGGTCCTTCACGACTCTCTGGTTGGGGTCTGAGAGATGGTGCGACACAGTAGCTAGAGACGTTATCAGATATGGCTCAGAATAAAAGCCAGTGGCGATCCTGCTGTAACCTTCTTTTACTTTCTTCATAAAAAGTGGTTGTGTCTCCCTTACTTGAAAGATTTCTTCTGATTGTACCTTTCCGTTCCATCGTTACGACCACACTACCTTACACCAATCTCTTCGTTATCGTTCTCTTTTTCTTTTGTGCTCCTTAGTTTTTTTTCTATCTCTCTTCGAATTTTCATTGCTTTGTGTGGCGCATATATATTGGCGCTCTCTTGTACCAATATTTATGTGTTCAAATAAATAAATAAAATTAGGAAATGATGATAAATCAGTTGATGAGGTTATGAATCGTCATCGACTGAGATGGTTGGGCCACGTGTTACGTATGCCTGAACACCGATTACCACGACGTGCAATGCTATCCGGTATTGGAAATGGTTGGAAGAAAGTTAGGGGCGGCCAAAACAAAACGTGGCATCAGGGCTTGAAGTCACTAACTTCTAATCTGAGCCATGTTGGTAGATGCAGACTACTTGGTTGGGGTCCGCGTGACTATCGTAACCAATGGTTGGAGACTCTTGGTGACATGGCTCAGAATCGATCACAATGGCGTCGGTGTATACACTCCGTCTTCCCTTAAACTAAGAGATTAAAATTACTTCATATCTTTCTTTCTACGAACTAATTCTTTCTTCTTGTACAATATCTCTATATGCAATCTTTCTCTTATATATTACCACCTTTTACCTAACCACTGTTATGAATCCGGTGTTCATCTTGTTGTGCTGATGCGGTATGGCAACCTGGACCGATGCACATATGTGCCTGGTCCTACGTTGTAGCTGACTGACTAAAACTGGCTTACCACTGTACTTCCGTTTTTTTTTCAATTTTAAATAAAATTACTTGAAAAGCGTGCCAGGTGCATCTAAAATATGTTGAGACATAACCCATAAAAATGAAGTGCATGCTTCTCATTTGTATATCAAATCGTCATTAATAGAGACTTTACACTATCTAGATACTACACCAGTGCAGGATATATTTATGAAATTAGACAAGATCCTGTGTACCAAAGTAACATATAACTGGTCAACAAACAACTGTATGTTCATTACTTGCCTCTTTTTATTTTGTAAATATTTTCACCGATCTGTTAATGCAAGAAGTGGTAATCTGTGACGACACACATTCACGCTAAGCCTCATATCGATGATGAGTAGTCTATGCAAAGCGTTTCGTTAACATAGTTAACACTCGCAGTCCATAAACTTATTGACAAACTTTATAACCCTGTCATTTTGGGGTTGGATCCGGAATGTTAGGAATCTCTTGCTACATAATACAGAAGTGACGTAATATGAATGACCAGAACATACGTAATCCCTACTTTTTTTCATCAAAATGATACACGAGATGTACAGTAATCAGGACTAGTGAATTTACCTTTTGTTCCAAGTGAACCGTAACAAAAAGGGTTATTAATTAGACACTTATTCTAAAGACCAAGCACTAACTCGCTAATTAAATGTTATCGTAGGTATATGAGATGCTCGAGTTGCTTAAGGATATTCAACTTTTAAAGTGGGATGTCTGCATTAACAAGACTACACTAGTCGATTTTAGACACAAAGATGATCATCACTCAATGATTACATCCACTCAAACACATCTTCAAGTTCAAATAAGTAATACATATTTTGAAGAAAATATAATACAGCATATGTTAGTTTGAATTCAGGCAGGTTTGACAAGGAATGTGAAAGGAATGTCTACAAATGAAAAAAGTCAAAAAGTTAACTCACCAGGATGTGGTCGGAGAAACGGGCCATCTGGTGTATGCAAAACTCCAAACAAGACAAATACCATGATAACCGCACTAATACCACTTAGACAGAAATCACTTCTTTTGAATCAACTTACCGCTTCATATTGTATTCGGAAGAATAATTGCCATTTTCTAGCAAGGCAACGTAGATGAGAATACATGCAAATATGAACAAGCACAACACAGTGTGGGCATTCCTTAGTTATAAGAAACAAGAAACACAAATGAAATACCAGAAAAACGTGGAGGTTCCATCATCGTAAAATTCTTTCGTCCTGTTCTTTTCATCCTCCCAGTTACATGCAGTTTGATAATGCCCTGAATTCATAAAAGTACTTTGGATGCTGTTTTGTTTGTTATTTCTATCCAAATACTTCTCGCGAAGATCGTCAGAACGACATGGCTTTCTCATGATATACGAACAGTAGCCGAAGTTGCAAGGTCATCGAACAAAAATGTGAGATACTAAAAGGATCGACAAGATTTATGCCGAGTATTTAAACCTTCAGAACAGTGATCATTCAATATACACTATTTTTGTGTCACACCAGCATTGATTTATTCATGTTTTGCGATTTAATGTAAGGCAGAAACATCCAGAATTTCGGCAGCCTCTGGTGACGTTAATCTAGTCGCATACATTCAACAGATACTTAAACCTTAAAATGCTTTGGAAGTAAGTATGTTCGCTCAAGGGGCTTGGTAGTTACTATGTTATTGGTTAATCTTACGCATAGTCATTTCAAATATTGCAAATAGACGAATGTCAATGAGTGAAAAGACTGCAGGTTCAAATGGTTCAAAATGGTTGTGGACGGAATAGAAGCTTTCGCTTAACAGGCTTCCGTGTCTAGTAGCAGGGGATCACCAAATCCTCCAGGCAGGAACCTAGGTATGCTAACAATAAAACAGGAAAAGAAATTGATAAATCATAGTGCGATACTATCCTTAGTCCTTAAGAATAGATCAAGTTGCCTCTTAAAGGACTCCTGGGAAGTCGCTTGGACTAGCTCGGCTGGCAGCGAATTCCAGCATTTGACAACTCTTAAGGAGTAGAAGTTGTGTCTACAGTCCGTTCTGCTATGTTGTGTCTCCAGTTTTTGGGTGTTACCCCTCAGGTTAGTGTTGGAACTAAGCTTGAGTAGGTGTTTGAGAGGATGTCCAGAAGTGTTACGGATACTATAAGCCATCAGAAGGGCACCTCTAAGACGTCTATACTCTAATGGGTAAAGGCCAAGTGAATGGAGGCGCTCTTCATAAGGTTTAAATTTGAGTCGTCGAACTGATTTCGTGGCTCGCCGTTGAATACGCTCCGGGGTGTCCTTATCCTTTTGGAGTGAGGGGGGAAATATTATGTTTCCGTACTCTAAATGTGGGCGGATAAAACTATTGAAGATTATATGGAAAGTTCTTCCGTCAAACTGGCCAAAAATGCGCTTCAATGTTACCAGTGCAAGGTTTGCTCGGAAGGCATTTTTGTCACAGTTAGCATAAGACTTTAAATCGTACGGCACCAAGAATCCTAAATCTTTTTCGACTTGAGATACTACTAGAGGGGAGTTACCTAAGTCATAACAGTAGTCTGCGACATGTCGCAGATGGACTACTTTAAACTTTGAAGTGTTAAGGTTATGTCCGTTATCGTCTGCCCAACTTTGAAGTTAAGTCAGATCCTCCTGAAATGCCTGTATATCGTCTTGGTTGCGTATCTCTCTCCAAAGTTTCACATCGTCGGCAAAAGGCAATAAGTCTGACGTTACCTGTTGAGGAGGATCATTTATGTCGATCAAGAAGAGAATAGGTCCTAATACTGAGCCCTGGGTGACCACATTATTACATTCCATAGCCTGAAAGTGAAATTAACCCTGACCTTAAAGTGTCGATTTTTCAGGTGTGAAGGGAGCCGATCGATTAGAGGTGGTCTGATTCCCAATCGTTTGAGCTTATTGATAAGACATGTATGGTTAACCTTATCAAAAGCTTTTGAGAAATCTAGGTAGATGATATCAACCAAACCAATGCTTCTACCATTTCAGTACTATTAAGTGTGATTTTGTCTATATTGTGCCTCAAGTTCTACAAAAATTTTCCAACAAAAGGATTATAGTGATGATGACTAGAAGTGAAGCATACCACGTTGATCTCAGGTCTAAATAGGACAAAAGCTTGAAGGTTCTGACCGTTGAACCTGTTTCATTATTACTGCATCTTCTCAAAAAACCACCATCTTGCTTCGCTGTTTCAATTCAGATTCATATTTGCGTAGTAAAAACAGAGGGATAACAGCCGATGTTACTTCTTCTCTAGTACGTTTCTGTGAGTATCTTTTCTTGAACGAGTCAAGTGAACCTGCGGATACCACTACCTCCAGTAACAGGTTCCTAGAATCGATAACTCTATGTAAAAACTTGTATGCTACGTGTATTTTGTTTTTTCTTGGCCTATGTACTCGCCTGCTATGTTCTCTATTTATCCCAATCTGATAGGAAGAACAAGAGAGGATATATTACGTCCAAAATCTGTGAGTGTCTAGTCTTCTGTTGAATCAATCAAGTGAATGTGAGAATGCCACTACCTCTAATAACATGTCCCAAAAATCAAGGACAACTTATATGCCACGTGTATTTTGTTTGTTCTGGGCATTTCTACTCGCCTAGTATGTTCTCTATTTATCCCAATCTGGTAGGAAGAAAAAGAGGGTATATATAAGGCTCAAAATCGCTTCTTAGTACCCTACACATCAAAGCCAGGTCACCTCTTAATCTGCGATAAGACAGAGTAAAGAGGTTTAGCTTTTCAAGTTGCTCTTTACATAGTAAACCCCGTAGTTCTGGGGTTGCACAGGTATATTTCCAATGTACTTTTTCCAGGACATCCGAGTTTGCTCTTAAATAAAAGATTGTAGCCTGAATGCATTTTTCAAGCTTAGTTCTCACTAAGGTTGTGCATACTGTAGTTAAAATCATGGTAACTAACTTAATGAATATTCGGCTTAAAGCACATAAGTTTCTAAACCACTTCGCTACAACCTCCCGGCAGTGGGACATGGCCTTAGAATCATGACCCACCGTTACCCAAAGACACATGTGGAACCGAACCACAAGTGCAAGCACTTCCTCTATTCTGCACCTATTTACCTTTGTATCCCCAAAGTGCATGTTGACAAACTTTGCCGCATTGATAGGCATCAGAAACTCTTTAGACCAGCTAATCACAACATTCGAAACCGCCTGAAGTACGCATGCATCCGCATATTATATTATTTCTCGCCAGGCTTTTACATCAGGGTGTAATCCTTAAGACATTTTAGGAAGAGTTCGGCAATGCTAAGATTTTCCACTTTCGAAAACAGTCTATTTGTTGGCATCTTATCAAATGATTTGCTGAAGTCCATGTTAACAACATTCACTGCTTATCCATTTTCCAGAGCCTCTATCTATTCCTCTCTTGTTATAAGGAGATTTGTCGCACTAGATAAACCTTTTCTTCAACCGCATATTTTGCTGTCGAAAACGTTATTGGTTCCCACCCATGTCATTATAGTCTTTTTGACTATTCTTCTTAGTATCTTAACTACGACACTGCTAAGGCTGACATCTCTGTGGTTCGAAGGAAGTTGTCTTGGTTCCGTTTTATGTGATCGAGTGACGACTAAATTTTTTTAGTCCGTAGATAACACACCTTAACAAAGTGACAAAGTGAACATAGTCAATGGAGCAGCAATATATTGTGCAATTTATTACGAGACTTCAGAATGTAGTTCATCCAGTTCTGTTTACATTTCCTTTTCTAAAGTGCCAATAGCCTTAATTACATCGACTCTGTCGAAGTCCACAGTAAGCAGACGGTTTGTTAATTTTGTTTTTAAGTCTAGCTTTTCGTCTAAAAGAGGTGTAGTAATACGGTCTACTTCGTTATTAGTACTTCTCTAATAGTAGGCCTAATCTTAAAATTGTAGATTTGTAATGACGTAACTGTTTAATCTATAAGATCTTACGTGGAAGCCACATCATCGTCTACACCAACTCATCTCATCGTAACGATTGCCAATACATGATGGAGAACAAGCTTAAGCTAGAGATAGGATAATATATTTAATGTAGATAAGAGATATAAGATAACATTCAACCGGGGACCACGCTTTCAAGGCCGAACCATGCTGCCCAGTTAACCCGAATTAATTCAACACATTGTTCCCGCCTTCACCATCGTTTGGTTTTTCCTCGCTTTAAGTGTCAAATATCTATTTTTCCTGTTGTCTCGTGTTCAGCTTTGAGAATTGCGTGGTTGGTGCCCAATGCCACTACACTACTCTCCCACCAGAACCGACGTGTTGTTGATTCGATACCAAATTGAATGGGATTATCGCGCGCCGGTGGTTACCAAGAACAATATGAATCATCCAGGTATTGATAAGCTGAAAAAAACTAAATCAAAAAGGGGGTGAAAACTGATCGGGAAATACATGTAATAACTTTAAAACATCTGGTTTTATGCTTGACACGCTTAAAATGAAAACCCACATGAACATTACTTATGCACCAAGTATAGCGAAGTTATAACAAGGAAAAACGATATTTTAACAAGTCACATTAAGATACATAGTAATAACATTTGGTTAATGGCTTCGCGTTAAATGTCAAATATCTATTTTCGCAGTCATCTCGTGTTCAGCTTATGAGGATTATGTGGTTAGGGCCCAATGCCACTACAAGCTCCGGAGTGAAAAATATCCCGAAATAGTTTTCCACTGCCTACACTTTTTTATCATCCTCTATCATTTAAGATTCACCCTCTTCTACAAATTCAATGCTGCGTTTCTGTTCTGTAATTCAGGTACGAGAATATTCTCTTAGGATGCTTGATTGCCGATTGAGCTAATCACATTTCATGTATTTTCTGGGCTTCCCAGACTTTAATTGCACGCTTATTACTTACAGACCTGTAGCATTCCATCGTACTTGTTGTTTTAAGGCTAATGGTAATTTTCCAACACATATTCTTCCGTCTTAATAAAAGTCTTATATCCCAGGGATTACCACGCTTCCCCATTTTCTTTGAAACCATCCAGAGTATAAAGTGTTGGGTCACGTGATTGTATAACCGCTGAAAATGAGTCCATGTTTCTTCTACTGATGCTCCTAAGTAGATCATACATTTTTCAGCTGTGGCCGCTGAGTTGATCACTTTCGCGTCTGTCTTTCATATATTAGAACGGGCCAGTGCAACTGTTCGACAGGCCATCTCAGCCATGAACTTGAATAAGATTATGTCATGATCACTTCTCACAAAGGGTGGGAGGAAAGTCATCTGATTGATACTATCACCGTGTGTGAAAGATTAAATCCAAGAGGAACGGGGAGCTTTGTAGGCCCTATCTACTGGGACCTCTAATATGCTGGCATGAAGTTAGGAAAACTGTGGTTTCCAACAATTTGCAATCAGATGATGTTGTTGATGACCCTACTTCTAAGTATACCCAGTTTATGCATGGTACATTAAAGTCGACTACCATAGTGCTTTTACTTCTATTACACCAGAGGAAGCCATCTACTACACATTCTGGACTGCGGTATACTACATCTGATTCAATATCTCACCGTTTACAATTCGGATTACAACACATCATTTCACATATCATTAAATCATGTGCCACTGTTTCGACAGCTCATATGGCTAAAGTAATTTTTGTGAACAGGAAAACCCTGCTCCCCATGGGTTTAATCTATCAGCCATGCTGGATGAAATATCAA